ATATTGTAGGATTGTTCTGGATAAACCTTGGAAGAATCCTGGAGATATTTCTGGTAGAAACCATCAGATAAATTCCCACTGTCTGCTCCCCATGATCCTAAAGGATTTCCAGCTCTGCTTGCTTCTAGCTTGTTTACCATAACCTTATCAACCCACTCGCCCGAGCTCATGTCTCTATCATCCTCTCCACAGTTCTGAATAGGACTATCAACTGGGGGCCAGGGAGATGAATTACCTAGTAGCTCATCAAGATCAAAGCTTTGTCTTTTTGTCCTCGAAGCAGAATTGTCGTTAATCTACAAAAGCAAGACATCAACAAGAGCGCCAAGTCACAGAGATTAGAACATACTAGCCAAATGACCGTTGAAAACAAATCTAGGACAAGAAACTACAAGGCAAAAGAATGAGGCATCATACTCAAAATTTGACGTGACATCTACTGACAGTTGAAAAACAATGACGTCCTTCAGAATCACCATCAAAAGCTTACACTTACCTGAATTTTGCCTACATTGATCATTGGTGTCTGGCAACCATTCTGATCCCCCATCATGTCTGTACCCTGATGGTTAGAATGAAATGGTGACATCTCACCAGATTTCATCCTGTATTTATCAGAGCTGCCAGAGACTGGGGGTTGATTGCGTTCAGCTTCCTCTTTCCTGGCTAGTTGTGCCTTAAGACCTGCAATCTGATCGCAATAGAAAATTTCAGTAATGCATAATGAGAATTGAAACAATACAAGTGAGTGTGACAGCGTGTAAAAACCTGTTCCTTGAGAGCTTTGACATCTGTGCTATCTTTGTTTACTCGGGCTGCACCAAGTTCAACTGTGGCTACTCGCTCTGCAAATTTGAGCGTGCTTATTGTTTCACCAACAGCATCTGGCTCAGGGCTTATGTGAACAAACATAAGTGTCTTGGCCTGTCCACCTGAAATATGATTACAAATAGAGAACCATAAACAAAACTTTCTCAATAAACCAGGCTAAACGTCTCTCGAGAAGGCATGTTTTAGTTAACCTTACCAAGTGAATCTTGGAGCAACTGTGTTAGTTTACTATTTCTATAAGGAACATGTGGATTCTTTTGGGCAAGGGAAGCGATAACATCGCCTAAAGCTGAGAGTGATTTGTTAATATGTTGAGCTTCTTTTAATCTATCCCCAGTCACCTCAGATTTGTCCACCCTCTCACTTCCTGCAAGATCAACCAGATGCATACAGCCACGAAGAATAGCTCCAGATGTCAAATCCCTTCCTTGAACATGAACATTCAAGCAACTGCAGATTGATAAAAGTTCGAGACTTAGAGTTGGCTAATTGCAACAAAACCATTTATACATGCTCTCAAAACACAAAAAGAAGACTAGATTCCTACCTGTGAGAACGACTACTACGGTCATTTAGGGCAGTTGCACCCACAACGCGATTCTTTTGTCCAAGGTTCATCAGATCGATAACATCAGATGTTGATGATACAGGAACAAGATTTGCATCTGGCACACTGAGACCTGTTTGAGAACTATTACGAATTTCTAATGTGCGAATAATTAAGGAAAGCCTGGAATGTGTGAAAGACAACAAAAACACAACTTTTTAGTTTATCACAAGTGTTTTGACATGTTGTTTGACCTTCATGACCTATTGGAGAAAAAAATATAAAAGCAGTAAACTAGTAAAGGATATCTTTTGTTACTCCCATCAGTAACAAGGAGATCTCGTACTTGCTCGTTATAGATCTCAATCATTTGAACAGAAACATCATACCGGAAAGTGTCCTTTCTTCGATCTGCTATAAAAAACAAGTCTCCCAATGCCCTATAATTTACACCTTGGCTTTTCTCTGTAAGTTCTCTGGGTCCACTCTAATCAATTAAACAACATAACTTAGTGATAATATGCATAATCAATCAATCAAAATCTACAATTCATGTAAAAAAAAGATGTATACTGTGATTGACAGCATATATTACCATAGTGTAAGTTTTGCCTGATCCAGTTTGCCCGTATGCAAATATGCAAACATTGTAACCATCAAGGACGGACCGAATCAGTGGTTGCATATCAGAGAAGACATCAGCTGCGAGGCATAGATAACATGGTGAAAAATACAATCAAAAGTTAAGATTATAGAACTTGAAGATTGTTTCCTTAACAAATAAAAAAATAAAAAAACCTTAAGAGAAGCTTACCAACCTTGGGTTGCAGATGGCCCGAATACTTTGTTGAAACTGAAGGACTTGTGTCCGTTCCCATGCCTTGCTGGGGTGTTAATAGTGATATTTCCATCTTCTATATGATCCACAGTGCTTAAACAGTTTGATACTCCAGATAAGAAGGGTCTCACTCGACAATAAACCCTGATACTTCCTAATCAACACAACAGATAACTAATTAGCCATTGAGGACTAGACTTGTGAAAGTTTAGCGTCTAGACCAATTTATTACCTTTGAGATCTTGAACTTGATTGTAAAGCTTTCGATTTTCTTCAAGAACTCTGTGATATCCACTCGCTGCATGAGCTAAGCCATGAATGTGTAAACCTACGGAAGGAGAAAAGTGAACGAGGATAAAGATTTCTTCTACTCACCACCCTCAAAAGGAAAAATGTAATAAAAAAACAACAGATATATTCTTTCTGAATTTATACCAATATTGTGGAACTCCTCGTGGAACTTCATTTTCATAAACTGAATACCAGATTTGGTAGCGTGAAGAGTTTGCTTTAATTCCTGCAAATTGATATGTGGCATGAGTATACTAACCAATAAACACAAAAACAAAAAAAAAAAAGATCACGGCTGAAACCTGCCTGAACATCTCTTTGTTGTTGATCAAAGATCATTTGCTGTTTAAGCAGCCGACTTTTTGATTCCTCATCCGAGATGTGCTTTGTATTGACAAGTGATTTGTCTTCCACCTGATAATTATTGAAAAAGACAAAGATATTTGAGTTTCAATCTATTTATGAACTTCAACATCAAAATATGAGTTTCTCTAGATGACCGGAAACAAAAGCACAACAGTTACCTTTTTATCACCAGAAGCGAATTTCATTGGAAACTTGTATCCATGCGAAACAGCCACATCTTTTGGACTTGGTTTTGTCTGTAACATAAATTTGTAAGCGCGTAAATGTTTGAAAAAGAAACAAGAGAGAACCCTAATCATATTGAATAGGTGAAAGCACGTATCCCTACAACATATTTTCCAGATAATGTTTAAAGGGTAACAGTTTTGAAAGAGAAAAACAAGCATACCAATTCACATTGGCTGGACATACGTTGCTCAAATTCCTCCATGACCTTGCTTAGCACAGACTCTACCAACTGTTGCACATTCGGGTAAAATAACCGAATTAAGTAGCAGCAGAAAAGTTACAAGATATCACTGGCAGTGAATCAATAGTACTTTATAGGTAGTTGTATCAAAGAATCAAACAACGCTTTTTTTCTTCCTGGCAAGTTAAAAATGTAATTCGCTTGGTTAAACGCAGACCAGTTAGACAATATTAAGTAGCAGATATGAGTTGTACAAGATGAGGGAATGTTTCCCCAGCCTTACCATCGGAACTTCTTCAGGCTTCTTATCTAATAGAACTGCGCGAACAAGCATACTCAAGGAGTGAGAACTAGGCTGCAATAACTCAAAACAAGAAAGGACGAACTTATAGTTCTTACTCAAGAATGCCCAAATACACAAAAGAAAATTAATAATATAAGGTTAGAATTGTTAGTTTACCAACCATCTTATTAGAATTAAGATCAGAGGACGGAGCGCTCAAGGATTTGTCATTCATTGAGGAAGTTCTTGACAGCGAATTCGTGAATGGCTCCGAATTTTTCCTTACAAAAGGCCTTGCCGCAGAAGTAGTGGGTTTTATGTTTGCACCAAATTTTGATATGCCATTTCCCCCGGTCTGTTTCCCCTCACTGTAAGATTTAAGCGCCAGAACCGTATTTACAACTCTTGCAGATTTCCCTCCCTGATGGGATAACAAAATAAAATGTATATATGTTACATAAGTATTTATCTTAGAAAATCTAATTCTGAAAACTGTAGTTGTCCGGTTACAAGTTCCAGTAATTTGATGCGCATAGAAACTTATCGAAAACTTATCGAATACCCTTGTGTAAAAATACATACTTGTTCCAAATCAGATGCCTCAAACGAGGGAAGCCCCATCCCCTCGATAGCAACAAGGAAGTTCCTCACATTCTCGAAGTACTGAAACGCAGACAAAGCCGCCCCATCGGGGATCAAAGCTGAATCGCATGGACTTTCTACCACCTGAAAAAAATAATTAAGCAATGCAAACAATGGCTCAATATTTGCAAAATTGAAATTGAAGACGAAAAAATGCGAGAAATTAGGATAGGATCAGAGGATCAGGGTCACCTTGGGCACAGCTCCAGGTTGAACTTTATTGATCGCATTGCAGAGGATTATCCCACTTCTCAATCCAAGCCTAAACTCTTCCTCCGAAGGCTCTGCCGGCATGTCTTTAGCGGCAACAACGCCGATCATCTTTCGAAGCCACCCGGCCGCCTCATTTCTCCTTGATGCTACACAACGAAAGGTTAGCTCGATTAGCTCAAACAAGGAACGAAACGCAGTTTTCAAGTATTCAATTATTTCAAACTTAGTATCAATTGGTAAAGTTAAACCAAACAAAGGAGAGAGAGAGAGAGAGAGCTGATTTTCTGTTTGGTTGCTGAGAAAATGAAGGAAAATACAATCTTGAATACAATCGAGAGAATTTGGATTGAAAAAAAAGTGAGTACCGGCTTCCTCAGCTTTTCGAGACTCCAAATTAAGATCGCCGAGGCGAGTGCCGTGCTGTTGAAGCACGTCCTCCACCATCGACGCAACCGAAAACGACAATGCTGTTCCTCCTGCTGCCGCAGCCATCGCTTCTTCTTCTTGCTTGCTTCCCCACCACAAACAATTTCTCACTCCAAATTCCGAAAACTGGAAACCGAACTCTTTCACAATTCAGCCATCAATCAATCAAATCCCCCTCAACTTCCCAAAAGAATCTATACGAAATCAATTCAATCCCAGCTATCTGCTGTGTTGCCTTCTGACAGAAAAGATCTAGAGAACCAAAACCAGTAACTCACAGCCAGAAGATGGAGAGAGAGAGAGAGAGGAGAAAGAGTATCTGTGTTGTTGTTGTTGTTGGTGTTTTAATTGATGTAAAGGTTTCTTTGTTTCCAATTTAGACTCTCTTTCTCTTCACAGTCCCATGAGGATGAGGCACCTTTTGCTTTTCTCCTTCTCTTTCTCTTCTCTCTCTCCCTCTGTTTTAATACTCTCTCTCTCCCTCCGACCCCCCTTTTTCTCTGAACCTACTCTCCCCCGCCCGAACCTGTTTCCGAGCCTTCCTGGGTTTATTTCAAATTACCAAACTACCCTCTTTCTTTTCAAGAAAAATATATTATGTTGATGTATGCATTCTAACTGAGAAGTCTAAAGTCTAAACTATACAAAAAGAAATTAACTAATTAATTTGGTTTTTTTAGAAATGGTTCCGATCATAAACACAAGTTTTGTGAGTCAGTCACTAAGTGAAAAGAGAAAGAACTTCTCCTCAATTTTAAAGTCGTTTTTACACGCCAACTGAAAGCGTGGCTGTAGAAGATTTGACTATGTGGTTCGGGTTAAGATCCTACTTAGGGGACATACATCACGGCATTTTAAGTAAATCTTATTTTGATGAAAAGCTATTTAATGTTCTAACTTGTAAGCTCACCAAATTATTTGATCTTATTATAACCAAAAAGAAGAATAAAATTATTGCTTTTGCAAAGGAAAGCAATACTCACCATAATCTTTGGGGTAACGGTTTGAACGTTATATTTGTGAATAGTTAGAGAACATTGTATACAGTACTAATAAATCAATATAATTTTTCTTAACAAACGATATCATCTACACTAAGAAAATAGGAGAGAGTGAGTTAAGTCTTACAATGTGCTAATAATAATATGAATAAATTAGTAATAACACGTAAAAGTTTGATGGTTAGACTAAAAATACTTATCTATGGTAAGAATTCATTTGTCACAATAACCTTTTTTTCTATACGAGATATATATATGATTGCATGAAAATATTTGACCGACGTTTTGGATACTGAAGGACGGTCCAAATTAGTTTAAGGTTTTAAAACCATAATTAAGATTCATGAAACCTAACATGCACTATATGCTTTAAATCCAAGGGTCTTAACTTCTTTTAAACCTTGATCATCACTCGTGTTTTCTAATTTGTTAATGATGGATAGTGTTTGTGCCACTAATCTATTGCCTTAATTAAACGACAAAACTTCTCCATCTATGGATATTCAAAAACATTAAAAATTTGAAATCTTATTTGAAAACATTAACAAAAGCTATCTATATAATATATACAAACCATTCAAATATTATGAGAAGTCGGTGGGTTTGTCCATTTCTTTTGAATTTGGATCCTACCTGAACCTTAGTGTGTGAATCTTAAGAACTATGAAATTGGGGTCTTTGGTTTGTGTGAAAGAGAAATTGGAGCCTTTGGTTTGTGTGAGATGAATTAATCGGAATGAGTTAATGAAGATTGTCGGATTCAATTTGAGTGGCCCTGATTACATAGTCCTAGGCTCCGGACGGTGAAATCCAGAGTGGTGCCCATTTCTTTTGCACACTTTGTATTTAACGTCATAATTTTGGTCATGTTCAGCCACCTTTCTAATTAAAAAAGGAGGGAAAATTATTTAAATTTTGAAATCCATATTATTATATATGGGGTTTTGGTTAAGTTGTTTCAAAGCAACGAAGACATGTGGGAAGTTAGAAGATCTTGACACAAGCTTGGGCAAGTGAAAAGTTTGAAGGCAAGATGTAAGAATCGACATTATCCAATCATCCAATGCCCCCAATAATAATATGTCGAGGAAGGGTAGTGGGGTTGGTCGTGTGTTGCAATCAAATAGCAGAAACGGTTGTTGAAAACAGTAACCCGCCGGCCTTCCAGTTATATCTTATTAGGTCATGTTGATCATGGGATTAACCAATAACCACTAAACGTCCCATGTAAGCAGGTAAACACTGGCCTTGAGCTCTAAGTTACCAAGCTTGGAACTAATTTTTAGGTCAAAATGTTGGACTGAATTCTCGAAATATACTAATTACTAAGAGACCAACTTTTATGATAGAGGTACATTGTCTATATGGTATCTCATGTCAATTGTACTATGTTATGTATGTTGAAGAAAAGTTACTCATAATCTTTTATCATTGATATGAATATTACCGTAGTTGTTTACCCTCACCATAAAGTGTTAGAACTTCTTTTTTTTTTCGTGCGATATTAGTTGATAACAAGAGTTATTTTCAAAAGATTTTAATGGAAACTTTTGTCACCATACATTGGTTTCACACATGAGGAACATGCTATGATACTATCACGCAGAATATTATTTAGACATACAAAGCTGATTACATTACTAATACATTATCTAATATAACTAGGTCCTACATACAAAAGAGGAGTAGCTAAACTTTTTATAAGTTCATGCACAAATCTTAATTTTTTGACGTGAGACGACTTCTCGCATCCTCACATTCTCGATTATAATCATTACTTGACATAAGCTCTCGAATACAATAAAAGGCATTTAATTACTTGTAGGTTTCGCTTTATTTATTATGAATCATTTGCAAAATTGCAAGATTTGGTGACAATAATGTGACTAGGGAGAGAGCAAATTAATTGAGCATGGTAAATACTAATAGTTTGTGTTTTGGGCAGAAAATGTTATGTGCCCACGAGTTGAAAAAACAAGTCTTCTCCCTGTATCAGTAGAAGGAAACAAACAAATGGGACACGATGGGAAGCATGGGGCATGCGTCCTGCAGTTGCAGATCGATGGCTTCAACGTTCGAAAAATTCAAATGGTAGGTTCGGTGCCGAACCTCCAGGTATGGATAAAGTTGAGGCCCCACGTAAAGCGTGTTTACCGGTCCTACTCGCGACCGCTCGGCGGGAATTTAACACTCAATAGCAAAAGTGGCTGATACAAAGACACCTTCTGAAGTAAAATTTGAGTGACGGACCAATGGGAGTCGGCGGTCAAGCACGATGGTCAACCGTTGCTTCGTACGTGGCATGCTTTCAGTGGATAAGGTTCGGTCTACATCAATCTGCCCTGTAATTAGCGGAGCTGCGGAAGTGTTTGATCAATCTTCCTCAACAAAACCCGGCAAATGTCTCGCGGACGTGGTTTACTGGAAGGAAGGCAAGTGTTCTTCGATTTATATCAAGGTTCTAAAAATTAAGTGCTAGTTGGGCGGCCGGTTGGTGCTTAGCGCCTAGGTAGTTAGGTAGGGTCTAAGTAGACGTCTAGATGATCTAAGCGGATTTAGGTAAATTTCTTGTATATTTTGTAAATAAGTGCATATTGACACTTACAAAAAATTATACTTGTATGAAATTTATGAATAAGATAATAAAAGAATGATAAAATACAAAAAGAGTATCCAATAAGTTCAAAATTTAAAAACACATTAAGCATATATACCGTATAACCATAGTGAGGAGTATTGTAAGATGACACATGTACAGTAAGTTCACAATTTAAAACCACATAAAATGCAAAATAGGAGGAAAATAAGGAAATATAGTAATGTAGATATGATTTTTTTTTTCAAAAAAAAAAAAAAAAAAAAAAAGGGCCTAGAGCCCAGGCCGATTTTTCCAACCAATTTGCAAGAAAACGTCTTGGGTCACCACCGTCCAGCGCTTGGATCGTTTTTTAGAACATTGATTTATATTTAACAACGTAATATCATGGAAGAAAATTTTGTGTATGGTATTGTATTATTAGCTCGGGAAGTTATTATGATGTCCTCAATAATCTGGCCAACTAATGAAAGATTACTTGAGGAATCCCGCTAAGCTTTCACAATATGAAGCTAATCGGACTCTAATATAATGTTTTGAAATCGCCTAGATCTCATTCAGCACTGTCAGACATTTCTCCCATGATAATTTGTGATTAGCTTGGTTGGAATACCGCTATTGTTGCGTCTCTTATGATAAAAATTCTTTTAAATTTAAGTAATATGTTGTTTCTTTAAAAGTACAAAAAGAGATTCACATAATTAGTCGGATTCATCAAAACATAGAATCAAGTTAATAATTTGGATGTATTAAAAAAAGTTAATAATATGAATTAACACATCAATGTTGAAACGAATCGTAATTGGGAAATTTTGATAGGGTGCGTAATATTAAATGTCTTAATTATTTGGGAATTAGGACCAAATAAAGTCCACACACTGTACGTATGTAAATATAAAAGATTTAAAAAGAAAAAGAATTTACGGAAGAGAGGAAAGTTGGAGAGAAATGTGAAAGAGAGAGGAAGAGAGAAAATTAGAGACATGCTTGATGCTTTGATGATATGTGGTTGAGCGAAAAAAATTTAATACCCATGATTTTTTTTTTCCTAATATTTTCTCTCAATTATATATGGAAGGTATAATAGCATTTTCATTAATTTTTTGTTGACAAATAACGTTCTATTAATAGGTAGTATAGATTTTACACTAACAATTATTTTGAGAAGTAAAAAGTCAGATAATGTGGGAAGTAAATAAATGAAGAAATGTAAGAAATGGGTTGAAATAATTCAATTCTCAAAAGTAATCAAATTAATACAGAGAGTTGCTAATCATGATTAGTTGTATTAAAAGGTTGTCAATAGTTGGATTATAATTGCAATTACCAGTTTCGAAAGATTATCTGTAGCCATATGGTCATCATGCTACTTCCCATGAATGCCTTTGTTGTAGGCTCTCCATCACTTTCTTTCTGCAACGGCATTTTGCGGGTTTGTGCACACAAGATGGAGAGCATGTGGCATCAGAAAATAGTCAGGTCATTGATGGTATATAATTATGTACAATTTTGTTTTATTAATGTTAAAGTGTTTTTCTCTCTCATCACGTGATATATTTAGAATAAACAAAGATAAAATACATCATAAGTATTGACACATGAAAAACATCTTATGTGCTACATTATCTTGTCATATTCATAGTCTCGTTATCTTAGACCTCATAATTTGAAAAAAAAAATGTGATTATACGTTTTAACGAAACACTTCCGGTATTATTCATTTTTAACGAAAATGATATTTTTACTCTAAAAAATCATTATTAATAATATTCACTTACAACACTTTATGTTATTTTGATTAAAACTTTAAGTTTTTAAATCATTTTCATTAATTATCTTTTAGATTAAA